TCGTATTTATGGGAAGTTTCTTGGTTTGCGCGCTTTCATAAGGAAGCAAATCAACAATATGTTCTTGTCGTAAGTCATACGCTAATCTTCTATAGATATTTTAATAATTTATATAAGATTGAATAATCTTATAGCAGTAGACATTAATAAGCAAAAGATTTTTATGTTTTGTAGTTCTAGTTCAAATAATTAAAACTTTCCAAATTTCAACTTATGTTGTCATTCGGCGTTGTTTGTTCCAGTTTTGTCTTCGAAACCGATTCATTCAACGGTGTTGGTGAATTACTAGAAATTCTAGGAAGGTAAAATCTCATTCGTGTACATTTTTTACTGCGAACATTCGATGACTGCATTTTCTTTTAGAGTTCTTGTTTTAAAATCATTCTTTTAACTTAAAATCTCGTAAATCTATCTATCTATCTATCTATATTTTGTAAACTCTCTTTTATTATTGCAGCATTATAAATGGTTTTGCTCTGCCATTAAAACAAGAACATAAGGTATTTCTGGTGAAAGTGCTTCTCCCTCTCCACAAACCACGCTGTTTGAGTCTCTATCATGCTCAGGTTAGTTGTTTTTCTGTTCCTAACATTAAAATATTTTTTCTCTTGAATACTGTTTGTTTTACCTCTGTCTTATGTTTGATCACTATTACAAATTATAGACTGAAAAATATTTTATGAAGAATTGTAGGAAATTTTTTCGTTTCAGTTGGCTAAAAATAGTGTAGCAAAAATTTCAGCTTGCTTATTGCGTCGTACAATTCATTGAAAAAGATTCAACATTGACACCACAGGTTTTTGATGCTCTGCTCAAGTTTTGGCCAAGAACATGTAGCGCAAAGGAAGTATGTTACTGCTTGAAATAGTTCTCAGGATGATTTCAAAAGATTTATTAGTGTAATCATGTGAACTGAAATTGATTTATAATTAGAGACGAAAGTGTTTTTAGGTGATGTTTTTGGGTGAAGTCGAAGAAATTCTCGATATTATTGAGCCAGAACAGTTCAAAAAAATTATCGAACCGTTGTTTAAACAACTTGCGAAATGTGTTTCTAGCCCTCATTTCCAAGTAATATTTTTTTTTTTCGTAATGTCGGCTCTATGTCACTTTTACTGGTAAATAATTGTCTTGATGTCATTGTTGGAGTATATTTTCAGGTAGCGGAAAGAGCACTGTATTTCTGGAATAATGAGTATATTCTGTCTCTTATCGAAGAAAATAGCAGTCAGGTGAGGTTTATAGCTGAATTTCGGCTTCTTAGTATCCTTTTGTAGTAAATGTTTAAACTTAATACATTTCCCATTTGTTGGGGGTATACTATCTCATCACCTTTCTTTTTTACATTAATACCGTTTGGCACTCCAGTCGTTCTTTTTCAAACGCTTTTTGTTTTTTAGGATTGAAATTCAATATGACATTCCAAATATTAGCAGATTTTGGAAGCCATCATCTTTTTGTTATGTCTCATATTCTTGTTTGATCTTAGAGAAATTCCGTAATCCTCATCGAGGGAACTTAAGGCATATTCCTTAGTCGTTTATTTCTGATAAAAGTACAGGTTATGCCCATAATGTTTCCTGCATTATACCGGATAAGTAAGGAACATTGGAACCAAACAATTGTGGCGCTTGTTTATAATGTTCTCAAAACATTTATGGAAATGAATGGAAAACTTTTTGATGAACTGACCGCAAATTATAAACTCGAAAGGCAAAAGTGAGTTTTGATGAATATTATTTTATGTAGTATTATGCAATGGGCATATATGACAGTTGTTTCATTTTAATTTTTTCGGAGTAATTTTGTATATTAAAGCTGCTAATGCTTTTATTGTTTACAGTTTTAGAGAAAAGAGAAAAGAAAAGGAGCGTGAAGATTTATGGAAACGCTTAGCAGCAGTTGAGCTTAATCCTCCCAATGATAGAGATCCACATATACTGAGCAAAACACCGTTAACAAATTTCACGGTTAAACGAGAATTACCTGCTGTGTATGGACTGATTGCCCCAGCAAACTCTGTTGGAGATAAGTCTTCAAATTTCGTTAAAAGGTAAATAAACTTTCGTGGTCGGAGTTGGAGATTCTATATTAAGTAATATAATTGATACTACATTTTTGGCACCCAATTTAATACTGCATATTAATGAATTTTATGGTAAACTTTGCTTCGACATTATTGCGACTACAGGTTGCTGTACTAATACAGGAATATAATTGTTTTGTAATATTAATGGTACTTTTTTCACTCTGTGATGTGGTTCCGTCATGAAGTTTTAAATTATAACTATTTTATTGAACAATTTTTCTGGCAGATAAAAGTTCGAAATTTGTTTTTTTTTTTGTTTTTTTTTTTAAATATATCATACTAGCAATTGTTGCAGAGGAAGAAATGGATCTGAAATGGCCCCATATAAATTTATAAACATTTTTAAACCTTCCAGCGCTTTTGATTGCTACTTTATGGAATTGCAGGTCAGGTACTGGGACGAACAGCATCGCTGTCAAAAAGTGATAATCGCCTTATGTGATTGCTATTTTGTAACTAATTAAACAATAGCTTGATTGCATACATATAATCTTTGTTTGCTGTTTCATTAAATTGCATAACCTATGTTTATAAGATTTTGGGTTGGTCGCATATCTCTTTATGATGTCTTCGAACATCTTCGATTTTTATCTCTCCTACCCTTGAAAGAAATCGAGAATTTTGCAACTTTTAGGTATTATCTATAAGCCTGTCGTTGAAATCCGTGTAGATTTGAAACCAAAGACTTTTACTTTATACATGCTACTTATTTTCTTTCTAATGTGCTTATTTATCTATATTTGTGGGAGTCACGTTTATAATTTACCATTTTTAGCTTTGATTTTCTGATTTATTTTACATTGCTAGTTTTCCAGCCTTGTTACAGTTTGATATTTTGTTCAAATTCATTAATGTCTTTCTGCTGTTAGTAGCAAAGACAATACGATATTGCTGAAATACATGAGCAGGGAATAAGTGGAGTCCAATCAGTTTCTGTAACAATTTTTAGGACAAACCTTCCGGTGAATTTTAGCTTCAACAGGTCGGGACGGCTAATATATAATGAATGCAGCAGTCTCAACAAAAGTTGAAACGTCTACCTGTCTTCGGCTTCTTGTCTAAGAACTTACGGATCTTGAAATCTAGATTTCGCTCTGTCCATTTTCATATTCCTCTACCAGTCTTGGAAGCTTAATTTACTTCATAGCGAATTACATACAAGCGTAACGCCCGCCGTATCCCTCCTATATTCGTGAAGCATCCATTTGGTGTTTCATTTGTTAGACTATTCCTACTTTATATTTGACCACCGTGAACTGTCTTAGTCCTTTTCTAGTTTCACTTCTGTAAAATCATAAAACACTTTCTAGCGTTTCATATTTGCTGTTTGTACATGATAATGGCATCGTAATTTTTCGCAGAACAATGAATTTTTGTTTTGCTTACTAACAATTCGTGGAATTTTCATTTGTGCGAAGATTTCCAGTGGCATGAACTATCGTCTTCATTGACGTAGAAAGGATTTACTGACTAATCTCAGATTATATAAATTTAATTGGGTGATATTTACTAAAAATGGAGTGTATTCAAGAGTAGTAATGCGCAGGAAAGTATGAAGCAAAAGTAAGTTAAGAACTTGAATATCCATTATTCCATCGTGTCGTATATTTTTAAAACATCCATGGTGGTCTTACACATTTTAAGGGAATTCTTAGAACATTAGCAGAGATAATACCATGTCACAACAATTTAAGGACTCAATCACAAATATGCAAATGAGGGTATAATAAGTGTTAAAAATACATCATTAATATAACGAACAATTCACCGGCTTGTGTTCCAAATTGACAAAGGTAAAAATATAAAAATCCAAATGTTGTGAATCCAAACAACCCGTATTGTGCGACGAGAGCGAAACAATCAGCGAATTTAGACATACAAAGACAGAAACAAGAGTGAATACGAGTTCTGGCCAAACAGCGGAAATAGCTACGGGGAGTACTTAGTTTTTGCCAAAGATCTGCCAATTCTAAACTGTTGGTTGGTAATTATCAAATCTAACAACCCTGTTATTATCTAATGTCATATCCAATAAAAACATGACTTCCCACTACTTTCCACTACTAGATCACATCTATTAAATTAAATTCGCATATTCGCCAGACCAAATGTATAAATGAAAGGAATATGTTGCATCCCTGACACAAATGTTAGCAGTATTAACTCAAAATCACAAAAAGCCATTTAATGCTACTTGCAGAGGTTATATGTCACTTTTGTTGTCGGCAAAACATTAGTTGAGTGTCTAGTTCATGAAAAGGTTTCACAGGTTTCATTAAGATAACTAACAACTTTTTTAAAATTAACTGCAGTGAGCCACTTTTAGCAGTCCCATTCTATAGTCAAAAGTTAAAACCTACACGGATCTACCGGCTCAACACGCTTTTATCATTTATTATTACGGAAATCTGCTGATCGTGTTGCGAACTCTAAAGGCCAAGCAACGTCTTTAACTACTACCTAACTTACGAAAAAAACTTACCGACAACAAGGACTGAGTGATATGAACAAAAAACATCATTAAATTGCATAAAATCTTTCCAAACTTGTATTAATTCTCTCTGTAACTCTTTTTAATAACGAAAAAACTTATAATCCAAAGCTAACTTTGGAAAGTACATCAAAACTTGAATGCTGTTTCTATCAGATACGTAAACTCAAGCACTAAACAATACCAGTGAACCTTTTCAGATTTTTCTAAGATAACAAATACGTGAAAGAATTCAAATTTGATATTTGAAAAGAAAGTGCAGAGGAAGAAGAGAGACCCATAAGAAGTTCAATTTACAACATGCAAAAATTTACATCTCCTTAAAGAGAATGCAAACAAACTGAAAAACATGGAAGCATGTATATAACAATAACAACAACAAATAACAGTATTAAGATTAGTAGCAATAACAGTGAAAAGCTAAAAATGACTGCTGTCATCATTATCGATCATATCATTATCAGTGAGTGAACTAGATGGTAAAAAATGTGTTCTTATCATTAAATCAGATGAAACAGAGGGAAGACCATTCGAAAGGTGGGCATTGGAAGGCGGTATACAACAAACTGGGGGTGCCGACATCGGACGACATTTTTGAAGGTTAGCGGAAGACGAAGATGACACTGCTGCAGTTTTTGAATGCTTCTTTTTGAACGTATTTAGCTCATTCAATGTTAGTTCCAGTTTCTGCTCGTAAAATGCCCGAATGTCTTCTATTGCGTTCTTTATTGTTTCCTGGAACTAATTAGTTTTTCTCCTTAAAATGGATGATAGAAACTAAATAGCTTGGTAAGGCGCAAAAATGGCCCACAATGTTTTCCTACAAATACAATCCCACTATGGGCTATTCGATAAGTCTGGACAAAATGTCTGGGCAAGACTAATCCATTCTCAAGAAAAAAAAAAAACAGTCTGGTAGCATATGTTGTGACCGATTCAACACAGCAATTAATTTTCACAATAAGTATAATCGCTTTGCTGATGTTGAAACAAAAATGGATCCATCCAAAAATTTCACTCACATGCACCATAAATATAAGCATCTCTTGACTTTGAACAAATAATTCTGGGAATCTTTCTAAACTAAAACGTCATATTACTAATACTCCACTTAGCAGCAAAAAAGGGGAAAGAAAACTTCATAAATATAATATAAGTATAATTTTGTGGATTTTGTGCATAATTTTCATAAAAAGCATCACTGACTTTAGTTAATGTCACAATAAAAAATGATTCTTAAAAATATGAATAGTGCATATAAGCAGTTTTTAAAGGACATAAAAAGCCAACAATGCAAAATTACGTAATAAATCTGTAAGTGCAATGGACATAACATGTCGTTTTTACATATAAATTTCATTACTTTTGCAGGATGCACCAAGCAAAATAGAACTGAAAGAAGGGTCAGAACAAAAACCTATCTTATATCCAACTTTGAAAGACTCGAAAGAAATGGTAAGGAGTATCCATAAATGATGTGTAAATCTGGTATAAATTTGATATATAAAAGCGGACAACCACTCTAAATTTGAAGAAAACTGCTTGAAATTCACATATAATTTTCTTCTAAAAATTCTATCTGAATGAAAATGCTCACGGCATCGAGTGCACGGCGTATTTCCGGTTCAGCAAGTTTAACTTTCCGTTCCAGCTCAGCTTTTTCTGTAAGATGCCGCTTTTTCCACTCATCATTATTCTTCCTTTCTGCTGCTGCCATTGCATCCTTGATCTCAATCCGTTTCTCCAGGTCTGCTTTTTCCTACAATGGGATCACGGTTTAAAAGACATATAATATAAATAAAGTCTGAAATAGAGTCTTTTGCTAGGAACACTAAAGCTAACCAAATTATCTACAAATAATTTCCAGTAGCAAAAGAAAACCAGAAAAAATGCATCAAGACTCAAAAATTACACGTACATACCTTTTTCCATATTCGTTCCTTTTCTTCATAACTTCTCAACTGTGCCACCATTTTTCTAAAAGATAAATATTGCTAGAAAAATGATAATCATCTATCCCATGAATCTAATGACAGAAAAATGGATTATATTATCCGTCACCATTCTTTGAAATGTAACAGCCCCTCAGCAGATGGTAAGCTTATCAATGAAAATTACCTGCCCTCTTCAACTCTTTGCCTTAGCTCACCCTGCAATCCTTCGAATCGTGGTCGCATTTCAGCCAGTTCTTTTGTCGATTCATCACGCCTGACAATTGACATCATTTTTTTATAAAATGATTACAGCAGAAACAAAATAACATGAAGTAAAAATGATGCAGAACTTCCTTAGTTAGAAATTTAAAGAAATGTCTTAGATTCAAATTCTACTTAACATCTATCTTTGACATACAGCTTCACTATGCATTAGACATTTTTACATACAAATGACAGTTATGATGACCCTACTACAAATTTGTCCTATATGAGCTCATACCCTTTCTTTCTATTGAAATGAATTTAAAAATGTGTCCCTTATTTTAAAGATAACAAAGGACATACCTGCTAAGAAAAGCTTTATTTTCTTCACATAGCTCCTCACATTTTTTCACAAGTTTCATATTCCTTTCATTCAGAAACTTATTTTGTTCTTTGCATGATATGATGGTTTTCTCACCATTTTCTGCATCTCGTCGGCGCCGATCGCATTCTGCTCTCAAACCACCACAAGTTTTTTGCAAATCTTCCACTGCACGTTCAAGTGTCTTCATCACCTATAAATGATAAACTAGGTCTGTGTCATTAGGATTAGAACTAACCAACATTTAATGGTTTATATCTAAAAACTGTCTAGCATCGTCCTGATGAAGGAACCACATAATACGCACCCTTATCGAATTTTATGATTTTGACATATTTTTGAAGTCCGCCCTTTCTAAACAATTTAGTATGACATTTGTCATACTCACCACAAGTGTTTTTTGTATCCCATTGAGAGTAACAACTTTACGAGAGAAAATCAGTGAAGCACAAATTATTTCCAAAATACTGTGGTAAAGAAGAGATCCATATTTGTTTTAGATATGCCACGCGTATAAAAGAGCAACAGTGTTCGTTAAACATGAGGAAATGTTCCAAAAATATTCTTTAAAAAAAGAAAAAAAAATTATGACGCCATCTTTTTTAACTCGAAATCTACATTATTCATATAAATCAAACCAAAAGACTGACAGAAAACATCGCTATTTTAATATATTAACCTGTAAAATCTCAGAATTTTGTGCTTCCAAACGTAATTTCTCTGCGTTGACATCGAATACAGTTTGCTCAGCTCGTCCACGGGCTAACTGTGCAGCTCTTAGCTCAGATTCCAAAGAGCTTATTCGCTGTTCACTTGCTGACAGCTGACTAATCAAAGTGGTACGCAATTCAAAATCTGACTGTGTCGAACCTCCCGAACCGCTGTATGTAGACCTGTCATATATTAAGTCAAAATTTTTTGTCTCAACAATTAAACTTTTACCTTCGAAACTTCACATCCTATTAATGAACTCATTTATCACTTAATATTTTAGAAATCTGCCCTCAATTACGGAGAATAGATTTCATAAAATAACTCACTGAAAAGCAGGGTTCATATATACAACCGGATTTTTCCTTCCAATCGGTGACAGAGAATCTGAGAAAGAGTGACTGCGTGAGCGCCGACGTCTTTTTTTGTGGGTTTTATGATGATGATGTTTTGGATGTCCATCATTTCGAGATGGAGAATCACGTTTCTAAAAGAAAAGAATAGGAAAAAGTGAAAAATATTCAAAAGATCCACAGTTTTACCATATAAATATTTGAATGCGTTGAATGAAAGCTTTCTTATATAAAACGAATAAGTAAAACCTTCTCATCAATTTTCTTTCGATCTTTGAAACAAGACTTAATTAATTCATGTACAGTCTTTTAAGACGCTAATTACAAATACCAACGACAAACGCTATGAATTATAAAATATAGTTAAATGTAAGATATACTAATGAAGTTGTAATTTTTATAGCGGGAAATAAATATCTGGACATAATCCTTTATGCTTCTTTTGAAGCAAGAATTAATATAAAACTAGGTTTTATTTTAGTCAATCGACCAAGACCAAACGCAGTTATGCGTCCATTGCAACACATGACAGAGGTTACGCAATGAATTATAAATATAGTTAAATATAAATAATACAACTAAAAATTTAATTTCATGGCGGATAAGACATAACCTGGACATAAGCTTTTATGCTTCCTTTGAAGCAAAAACTAATGCAAGATTAGATCTTACTATTGGGAAAATACAGTACATATGTACATACACAAGTAAAATTGGATACTGAAACAGTTGAAATCATATCTGCCTTAGCTATTTGTGAGTGTCAGGTTGATGACAGAAGAAATACAAATAGATTACTTAAGTCTTACATAATATTCTATTCGGCAACCAACACATAATTAAAAGTTTGCTAAAACACACAGAGCTATGGCGATGACGATCAGAGCTTCGCTTATGATTAGATGATGTGCTATTTTCCATGGTATGCAAACTGTTCACTTGTAATTTCTTGTGTCAGATTGCAACAAATCTGGGGAAATATTTTTGGTCAGGAGTGACCAGAATTATTTATCGCCAATTACACAAATAGGAACAGCACAACCCGCTGACTTCTTATGTTCCTTATTATAATCTGAAATAACAAAAACAATTACATGCGAACAACTTTATTTATTAACGCCCATATTTAAATGCCAATAAAATTTAATTTCAAGAGATAAAGGAATGCTGAATCGACGCCTTTTAGGCACATAGCCAGTGAATTCGTTTTAGCTAATAGAATTGTCCTGTTCTAATTCCCAATGTATCATCATGGAAGAAAGAATATGCAGCAACCAGATATGCATCAAAAGAACTAAATTTTTATAACATATTGTTAAAATCAACCATGTAACCCCATGGACAAAAATATGACTGTGCTGTTTGAAGAGAATGACGTATTGTTGTCCACTTGAATTAATATGGAATATGTTCATTGTCCGCTACTTCAATCAAGAAGTGACAAATTATGAGCACTAAAATCCTTTCAGTTAAATATTTACATTGTTGGGAAGGATGTATCAATTAGCAGCCAAAAACAGATTGATTTTATACAATTAACAATATTATCAGAAAGTAGAAAGATCTGCAACAGAAATAAAATTATAGTTAGGTGGTTTGTGGAGCGGGGATTGAGAAAGTAGATAAGGGTAATGCAGAATGCAATTCACATGTGCAGCTGAATGGATGATAGACTGATTAATAAACAAATTGAACCATCCCCACTGACACCAAGCTATGATCACCTCTGCAGACACACTTCCGAACCAAACCTTAACAAACCAGTAGCTCTGGTCAACTTCACTATCAATTGTGTGGCGAAGTGAAATTTAACTAAAGATCTGAAGTTACGATAATGGAGTGGTAAGGATGGAAAGTTTTGGTTAAAGATACTTGTCATCTTAAGAGTGTTATAGTGCGTAGGGGAAGTCATTTTAAGAATATTTCGCATTATGGTTTGATAGTTGAAATCCAAAATTGAAATTGATCGAGACAATAGCAATGTTTGGGAAATAAACATGAAGTAATGGATAATGAAACAGTTCCCATTACTGTCTTGATTATTTACCTGGTAACGCACCGATCACTGAATATTCGTGCTAACTAATCACCTTCGTTTCATCTGGTATTTTTGTCTCACTCTGTGTCTATCCAATTTCTCTAATTGTAGATCAGTATGAATGCATTCATTCATACGCCTTGCTGAAATTACCTTCCTCTTTAAAATATTTTAGACTTGTTTAATTCCTTATCTGTAGTTATTATATGCGCCTTTAACTTGTTAGTACATTTTTATTAATTCGTAGATCTTCATTGCAGGTGATGGAGTACAGTGGTACGATCCCACTGAAAAAGTGATTTCAAGTTCGAGAAATGAAGATTGAAAGTGAGATCTTGTAATCAATTGTTATTATTGTTTACTGAAAATGATTTCTCTTTTTGTTGTTTTTATATCATTTTTTAAAGTTTCTTTCCTAGAAGAAGTAAATATCTACTTATTCTCAAAATTATTTTCGGCACAAATTAGATTGCAAAAAAAATTTTGTTTTGAACCAAAGAGCCTCATCAATTTTTATTTTTCATTTTAATATTAAGTAATTTTCCGTATTGGTGTGTTACATAATTTCTTCTGATAAACGCACTTCAGGTTACCCCCTGGATACTGAATTTTAGAATATTTTCAGCAGACTGAATTAACACTCCTTCCGAACATCCTTTGATTATAAACTTATCCATGGCCTTTTTTTTCCTTCTACATTCTACGTAGTTATGTCTACACTTCCATCAAAGTTGTTTTCTTTTTTTCCTGTTGAATAAGTTGCAAATCTCTTATAGCAGCAAATCCTTTTAAACTAGTGGGAATTCACCCATTCTTATATCTCTTGTTTCCAATTAGAAAAGTTTTGTTTCTTCATCACCTTATCATCATTATCATTATCACGCAGTTGTTACAATTTGTTTTAAATATATGATGCAGTATATATTTCGCATGATGTGACCGAACTAATTAAATTAAATAAGGCTTCAATTCATTTGTCTAATTGAAATAATCACTTTGGCCGCCAAAATGATTACACTGGTAGGACCAGAGGATTTAAATATATTTCCAGTCTTTTCATTTTCCAAAATTATTGTCGGTTAGTATCTCCATTTATTAAACTAGTTTAGCAAATACTGTTCTTGTTCTATTATTTTAAAAACTAAATCCAAATTAAAAAAAAATATGAATAAAAAAATGCAGACCAGTGAATTGTATAATGTATTTAAAGAAACATATTTTATAAAATAAATAAGATGTCAAAAATGGTAGTTTACCTGGAGAAATACAAAGTTTTGAAGCAAGAAATAGAAAAGTTCGTGCAGTAAAAGTTACATATAGGTCAGGTGGTGTATTAAGGTTATTAATTTTTATCTCTGTAAAATTGTCGTTAAAGCTGCCAAAAAAGCTGTAATATGTATTTGAAACTTTTAGGCAATGATGTAACAGAGAGATCGTTAAAAAAGAAAAATAACTTGTTTAAAGTCTTTTAGATTGAAAAAGAGATGCCACCTTGTCTCTTCAATTTCCTATTCTTTTAACTTTGTTTTTAGATTGATTTTTACTCTGTCTTCAATCCCTCATTTCTATTTCTACTTAAAACTTTATACAGTTAACAAGATTGGAATAGGAAACCAAAAAAGAAAACTCGAAGACGTCCTTCATTTACATATCAAAATTTCTTCTGAAGAAAAATAACCGGTTCAACTGGAGAGAATATAAATCCAATTTGTTTTCAAAATTTTTAGATGAGTTTTATCTAAGCATCAAAAATTCAGCTTATCCAGTTCAGTTTAATTTCGTACTAAAGCTGAAGTTTTTAAAACGTCAATCTATCAACGATTTGTTATTCCAAAACTGAAGTTTTGAAACGTCAATCTATCAAAGATTTGCTGCATGTGTTTCGTTTTTTGCGAACCTTTTTCATTCTTTTCACTTATCACAAATTCGAGTACGAAACTTACTCGTAATTTACATTATGTAGATGTCCTTTGTTTTGTGATAAGGTTCTCTGAAATGATCGAATGATTGTTATGTAATTATTTAATTCAGCGGATACCTCTTACATAATTACAGCGATGATCAATTGTAGCTGTGGTCATGAAAAACTTTCTAGAACAGCCTATAAATAATATAAGATCTACTACTGTTTTCCTCAGTCTTACACTTCTTTAAATGCCAGTGGTTTGATTGTCAGTAACTTTGAATCATAAAATTCAAAAAGTTCTGAAGAATCGTGACTCAACGAGACGTAAAATTAAAGAAATTACTTTTGATTCTGTATTGTCTTAGCAGATTTCACTGAAGTTGCAAAAATAATGCATGAAAAAACAATTAGTTTGTATGCAGAAATAACGTTAATGCTAAGAAAAGATAAAGTCGGTGTAAGAATGATCAGCCTCGATTTGATGTCAGTGACTTATGCATGAGATGATCTTTGACGACTAAGAAAGAGTTCTATAATAAATTAATTTGACATCGTCAATTATGAATGAGTTTGTTGGAATGTTATAAAGGAACAGTGTATAATTTTCAATAAAAGAGAGCATGCTGTGATTCTTAGTTCTAAGTTTTCTTACCGAGAATGTTGTAAATACAGATTTGTTTCTTATAATTTGTGAAAAAGCGATCTTAGCTTGTGAAGCAGAGGTAGAAGATTAATTTTCTCGATTAAAAATTTTTTTGGAAGATTAAAACCTTTCGAAACGTCAAATATGATGTGACGTCCGAGGACAAAATAGATAGTATTTCATTCTTTTTAGTATAAATTTTTCTTTAATTCAGAAGTATTATTCGATAAGATAAAAATACTGGCAATTTAAGATTCAGCTAGTTTGTATTTAAACATTTTGTTAATTTGTTACCAGCCAATGGATTGACAAATGTCTGATGTAAGTCTGTTTAATGAAACGGCATTATGAGACTCATTTTGTAAAGCAATATTCTTGTAGAATTATTGGATATATCAACTTAAATGAAATTGTTAAAAGTTTATTTCCTTTAAAAATTGAGCTTTTATTAATATTTCTAACTCAAACAATGAAGTAACGGTTAGGGCTGTCATAAAAAGATACATTTATGAGTAATTTTACAAAAGAAAAATTATCTGCAGATGGAATAGTAAAATTGCTTTCTTTTTGCATAACTTTTATCTCATCGGCTTAATAGTGATTATTTAACCATACCATATAAGTTTTATATCCAAAATGCTATTTTTATTTTTAATAGTAAAGAAGAGCTAATGTCATGGAATAGTGTAATAGTTTCTTTTTGGGTTCTCAAAATTATCTTTCATGAAATGATGCAAGACGAATTGATGGGATTTCTGCTCTACTGATAAGCTATTATCAGTAACATTCCTGCAGCTGTGAGTATTATTATCTGCATAAATTGTTTGCATAAATAGCTGGTCGTAAATTCAACGAACTTCCACAACTTCTTCTCAAAGAAACTTTCCAATAATGCGGATTGATCAGTATTGTAAAATACGTAATGATAAAGGTCAAAAGCAGGCTCAGATTACTTATAAGTTACTTTTTGACCGAATATTAAATAATATAAATTTATGAATTCACTCGAATTACGACAGATGAAGACAGTTGAAATAAGAAAAAACAAATTTTCTAGTTGTGGTTAGGATTTTCTTTCGTCACAAGTGTATACCCAATTTCGAAACAATTGCCTCTGCGCCTTTAATGCTGTCAGCTGTGCCATTTCCGACTTATCCAACTTCTACTAACTTATTTCGATCTTCCTTCTATTCTAGTCAAGCGTAGACTAAGTACGACAAAAAAGTTTTTCTCAAATATCTTTACGTTTAGTAAATTTAGAATTAATCATAAATTTTGCTCTGTTTTAATCATTTATTGAACTAATATGTTAGGAACTCCATGTTTCGTATATCATAGTTTCGTATATTATAATTTCTTAGTTTGCTTATTTTAGACAAGAACTAATTGTCGAAAATTTGACCTACAATTGCAGCACATATGAAAACAATAAATAAATAAATATCATATATTCATTTCCATTATAAAGTTCTCCTCTTTTCGTTAAATTTGAGCGGTTGAGGCTCATTACATCCGTTTATTTTCCATATTTGACTGATGCCATTGGAGATTTTAGACGCTGATGAAGAATAATGCAGGGAAAACCTCATTACTGCTGTTAGATTAAATTTCCTAAAGTTTTTTTCCAAATTTTGGTAATGACACAACAGTAATTTTGCAATCGAAATTCGTCATGCTGTTTTACAGAGTTTAGATTTTACTCTGTAAAACAGAATAATTCGCAGTATTTTTAAAAAGAGCTTGTAATGCTGAATTGTGAATTCGTTTTGGTTCTTTAGAGATGATTTCAATGGTTACTTATCTTTTATATATTGATGGCTTGACTTCG